AAATTTAGCTAATCTCAAAGTAAAAGAAGAACCAATTGACTCAATCCGAAAAGGGCAGTTTCCCAGATGATGACCTCCTTAGCATTATGGTAAAACAGGTGACACATTTTTCAGCTGTAATTCCTCTTTTTCAGAATTAGAAATGTCCCCAATCCATTGAAGGACAAACATATTTAACGATCTTTCTTTTTTTTTCTTTTTTTTTTAAATTCCCCATGATTGATTATTGGGTCTTTGCTTTTGATTGCCTAGGTATGTCAGTCTTTTCTCAAGTCACACAACCCTAGTACCCATAGACACACACAAGACACTTGTCAAGCATATCCAATAAGAGAAAAAGGCTAATTAACATGATCATATGCCTTTTTTAAAATCAGTTTTAAACACTATCCCACAAAGGCAGCTTGTGGTACACTAATAACTTCTGAAAGTACCTTCTTTAATTTGTAAATAAATCCTACCATATATACTAAATGGGATTGGACTCCTCAAAGCATGAATCTCTTTCAACCTTAGGAATTAAGGCAATGAATGTAGCATTAAGGCGCTTTACAGTTCTATCATTCTTGTAAAATTCCTAAATCAAAGACCATAACATCCTTTTTAATGATGCTTCAAACCTTCTTGACAAAAGAAAAATTAAACCCATCGGATTGCTTCACTGCTTGCAGCTTCTTCAACAACAGATATCACATTTTACATGTAGCTAATTGGATTTGAACTTGATTGAAAAAATTATTAGGTTAACAATAAATAAGATTTGATTCCAAAGCCACAGTTAGTTGTGACATGCAAGATTGATCATTGATGCAGTCATGAATCACTCTAGTAATAACTTAAATTATTCTATTAAAATATCTATCATTTAAGATGGATTCTCTTCAACTGCTTATATACAAATCTATATAAACGACGACTTGTAACTGTTTCTTGACACACTTTTTTAGCTTTTGTATTGCAGTTTAGCAGCAATCCGGCTCCTAGTTTGTAATCACAGGGCATCCTATTTTAAATTGAAGCTAATTTATGAAAACGATGAAGAAGAAGAAGATTTATCGATGCCTACACTGATAGAAGATTTTTCGTGTTCATGATTGTTTAGAGATGCTCTCTATATTTTGAGATTTGAAGATTGATGCTTTCTCTATGGGAAGGCAAATGATAGTTTTTAAAGGGTTTAGACTGTGGTGTGATTTACTGATCGGATAAATCATGATTTATTCTAGATTTCTTTACATTGTTAGATGTCCATAGTACATGCATTAATTCTCTAGGATGTATATATTTTTAACTTGCCTCATTTTATGGAATTATGGAAGTTGAAAAACATACCATCATAAATCATTTTTGTGTGGAATCTTAAGTTTTGCTTGTCTGGCGATCTAGTTAAAGGGACAATAGGACTTCTTTTAGGGGTAATTCCTGATGTTTTTGTTGATTTTAATGCTTTAACTATAATGGGAATGTTTTTGTTGATTTTAATGCTTTAACTATAATGGAAATGATGTCTACTGGTAAGGTAAAAGTGGTGATTATTTAGTAGTTCTAGAATACTATCTAATATTGTTCACGTGTATAAATCTTTACGGGTGGAATAATTTTAACTCATCTTTATTAGGTAGTTAGGAGATAAAGAACGACTTACATAGTGCGTTTTGCAGTTAGTATAAAAATAATGACATATGGTGTTATGAGACTATATAATGCCATCTTGGGAGGTATTTATAATTGAATCATTTCATTAGGTTGTTGCCAAATTGGGCTAGAGATGATTCTCTCAGTGGCCATTTTAGATAATCAATATGCAAACTTGTGAATCATTTTTTATTTTTTTTAATTGCCTCGCATGTACAATGCTGGAAGTTGAAGGAGAAATGCCATGATACTACAAGGAAACAGAGCAACATTCATAAACAAAAAAATAATAAACAATTTATTCACCCAAAAAAAACGTTCATAAACGAAATTGGGCCATAATGGAATGGGAGAAACACCAATTAGTGTTGCTATCTTCTGCATTGGCTGAAGTATATTGGGGTTAGTTGGTATAGCTTATCTGAGTTGGCTATAATTTATTTTATTTTGCGAGTCTGTGTTTGGTATAATTTCTGCTTAAAACTTATTAGATAAAAATAACTTAAATAAAATGATTTTCAGGAAGCTGGGGGAAGGGTGCTTTTGACTTTTGCTTTGTAATTATCAATTTTTATTTTATAATAAGTTGTACTAAATAAGTCTATTGTCAGTCATTCATATTTCAAGGAATTATTATTTCCATTTGCTTCACTTTGTAATTTTTTTTCATAAAAAATCAAAAGTAATACATTTCAATTTATTTCATCTCTTATTTTAACAAAAATAAATAAATAAATAAAATAAAATAAAATAACTTCCCAAACCAACCCAACGTAGGTAACATGGCAAAACCAAATTCTCTTTCTGTTAAGAAATATTTTAAAAAATAACCTATAAAACGTGTACATTAAGGCCTCGTTTAGAAACATATTATTTTAGTAATTTTTTAACATTTTATAAAAAGATGTGCAAAAAAGTAGAAAGAATGATATGATAATTTATAATAACTTTTTGATTTTTTAACTCAAATATATAATTCCAAACGACGCCTAAACTCCTAAATCCTAACGCATACATGCAGTTCAAAGGCTAAGGAATTGTGAATGGCAAAAAAGACAAAGTAATGGGTCCTAATGAAAGTGGCTTAACAAACCAACTACCAGGAAAGTAATTTAGGCCCACAAAGACAGAAGTAATGGGGCATCATAAAGAAACATTAAATGGAAAATGATTGGTAAGTATAAAGTTTATATATTTCATCCGTCTCAAAATAATAGTCTTTATTTATATATTTTTATAAGTTATACAATTATTTGAAATTTATTAACAAATGACCTTATGACATGTGTCTGCAAAATGTGGTACAGTTGTTAATGTTCTATTATCAACTCACAAGAGACATCAAAAGTAGAAATTAAGATTTGTTTTGAGAATTAGTTATTTTGATTGATTTTTTAATTTTATATGAAGAATGTGTAGAAAAGTAGTTAGAATGGTTGACTTTTTAGTTATTTTAGATAATTCCCAAACTTGTGTTTTAGAAAGATTAAATATTTGTGTGCCTAACTGATGATATTTTATCATTTTCTCATATTATTGTTATTTTATGGGGTTATGTAATAATATAAGTACACAACTTGTTATTGAATGGGCACAACATCACCTTGAAATTCTTGGAAGACTAGATAAGATAATTACTCCTTAAAAAGTCACATCTCAGTTAGACCTCATTTGGTTTGTGATTTTTTTAGTTAAAAATTTTTATAAACCCACAAAAAAGCTTTAAAAAAAAAATCTAAAAAGTCAAAATGTTAAAAACTTTTTCTCTTACAATTATATCTATTCAACTAAAAAACATATTCCATATTAACTTATTCCACTTCATAAAAAAGTCAAAAAGTTAAAAATTACTAAAAAGGAGAAATTGCCAAACAGACACTTGGGCACTATTTGTTACAATTTCTAAGAGGTAATTATAGCTTATTTTTGGAGGCAGAGGAATGAGAGTATTTTTAATGGCTCTCAAGTGGACTTGGAAGGGTTGTGTGAGCTTATCAAGGTCAGGATTGCATTGTGGGTCAGAGGTTCTAACCCTTCCTTTAGTTACTCTATTAATGACGCAGTGAATAATCTGCAGCAGGTTAAAGTGTGCATCATGGTTTGACCATGGCTGCTGTCTGAGGTTGACTCTGAGCTGTGTTTTAGTTATACATTTTGATCTAAAATGTGTCTGCTGCTCTGCTGAGGTCTTAATGACTCAGTGGTGCTCTCTGGTGGTGTTTTAGTCCTACATTTTGATCTGAATATCTGAATATCTGCTCTGTTTTCTATGGTGATTTAGTTCTATATTTTGATCTGAAATGTGTTTGTTGCTATGCTGAGGTCTTATTGCCTTAGGTGTCTGGTTGTCTGCTCTACTGTGTTCTTATTTTGCCTCAGCTGTCTGGTAGTCTGTTTTGCTTGATGCTGGACTGATATGCTTAGGTGCTAGCATTGGTAAGATTTTTCTATGGTCTGTCTCAGATGATTGGTTGATTGTTGATGGATTACTCTGGTCTTTTTTTTGCCTTTGAAATGGTGGCTAAGCTAGAGTGGAGCCTCTGGCTACTGTTTTGGGGAGTTAGCAAATAGCAAATGGAGGGTGAATATCTGTTTGTAGGGGTATTATGCTGGTTGGTCTGTCTTGATGAATGGCTGTTTGTCTGAGTTAGGTGGCTACTTCACTATTTGGCCCTGATTTAATTGCTGAATAGTTTAGAAGACAAAAATTTGTGGAACAAAGAAATCCAAAAGAGTGGCTTATGGGAATGGGATAACTTGGTGATGGCAGAAAATATGAACTTTGAGGATATTGAAAAGTTTTTTGACTAAAGGCAAAGTTGGTGCATTATGTATTATCTTAGAGTTTACCTAGTTTTCTATATTAGACTTTGATGTACATTTTGACTGAGGGTGATCTGAGCATGGCTGCTGCTGTGATGGACTCTGGTGTGATTGGTTGTTTTGTCTCAGGAAGCTTTGCTGCTCTGTTGGAAGTAGGAAGCTGGTCTGAAGATGTCATTCTGTCACCAGTGTTGCTCTCTTGGCATATATGCTGCTGTCTGTGAATGTAAACCTGATTGGTATGTTGCTCTATTGTTGCTTTGTTGTATGCAGATTGGTAGGCTTGCTGCTGTAGGAAGATGGTCTGATCTGTGCAGATTGATGGAGTACATTGTGTTGGCTGCAAAAGTGTTAGGCTGAATTGCTGATCTGCTGCAAAGCAGAAAATTTGATTCTTCAAGGAGGCCCAAACGACATGTTTCAGAGCAAATGCATATTGATCTGCTGCAGAGCAAAGTCAAGTAGATCCTCTGTTGTGTTGTCTTTCCCTTTCTGTTGTGTGGTCTTTCCCTTCATGTTGATCTGCTGCAGAGCAATTTCAAGCAGAAACTCAATTGTGTTGTTTTTCCCTTCCTCTCTTTTTGGTTCTTTTGATTGGTTCCTCACCAATCTTGAGTTAAGTGCTAGCAAAGGATTGTGTTACCTTATCTGTGCCAACCTAGTTGGGATTGGTAAGGTTAGTTATGATGCTCTTTGCACTTCCCTTCTTTGTTGATGTAAGTTTTCGCATGTATCTTGCTTTCTTCATCAATAAGGTTTCTTTTTGCTGATAAAAAAAAAAAATTGTAGCTTATTCTGATTTGAGAGCATGTATCAGATTGTTTAGTGTATTTTCTACTTATTACTTATTAGACAAAAATAGTTTAAACAAATTTAATATTTTTTTTTTTTTTGTGATTATTTAGAGTTGAGAAAGTGGTGCTTTAGTTTCTACTTTTTGATTATCATCTTTTAAGTTAAAAAGAAGTTCTACCAAATAGGACTAGGGTATAGTAAGAAATGACAAAATCATTTTGAGGACTTAGGCAAAATCTTGTATGAAGGCATTTAGTATTGCTTATTCATTTAATTTTTTTGTGAAAATTGTATTTTAGTTCAACAACAAGAAATTAATTTTATTTTCAATGCTGGTGTAAAACACTTATGTATATTCAAGTATTTTTCATGTGTTCAAATTTGCCAAAAAAATAAAAAAGTAAAACAAGTTTCCAAAAGAAAAGACTTTTTCTTTTTTTTTATATCCATTTTGTGGACACCGGTATGGAAAACATGGAGGAGCGATGATGGTCGTAGCGAGAAGGAAAATGCTAGCCAAAAGGACAACTTTGTCCATTTTATAATTAAGTTCCTTGTATAAAGTTTAGAAGTAAAATTTTATTTTTATTTGATTTAATCGTAAATGAAATTTACCGCCTCAATTATAATATTTGATAATTTTTAAAATTAAATAAGAAATTAAAAATGTCTATTAAATTGTTCTAACATACTTTCAATTGATGAAATAGCACACCCACCACATGTAAGAAATAATAAATTTTAAAAGAAATTTCAACATCAAATTGTTTTTCTGAGTTAGACATTCTTCCCCACAAATACGAGTTCGATTTTTAATTTTTTGCAATCACAATAAAATATAATTTTTTTAAATTTTTTTTTTAAAAAGTAAGAGATATTTTAATTTTATCAATTAAGTTATCTAAATTGACTAAGGTCTGTGATTCTCATTTGAAAAGTGATTAGTTTGAACATCAAGAGGTGGACCAACAATTTGAAGTTGTATTACTTATTTCCCCTTGAGGTCACCCAAAGGGTTGGGCTCCATAATTATTTGATACATGCTAGATAGAGAGAGTACATGTACTGAAGGCGAAACCCCAACCACCCTTCTAGGCCAAAAAAAGAAGGAAAAAGACAAGGCATTTTATAGAAGAATTATATATATATATCTATATAATAAGGAAGGAAGGATTTTGAAAATGTATAAAATGTATGTGAGATATATTTTAATTTAATGGCTGAGATTAATCTTAAATATATACCAATGGTTCAGATCAATCTCTTTGCCCAAACACATCTGCTCTACGCATTCTCTCTCATCCTCCTCCTCATCCCAAAGCCCTCTAATGGCCCTGTTTGGTACAGCTTAATTTCAGCTTATTTCAGCTTTCAGCTTAATTTAAGCTATTTTGATGTGTTTGGTTTAGCTTATAGCTTATAGCTTATAGATTTGTGGAAGTCAGAAAACAGTTTATTCTTTAAGTGGGGCAGGAGATGCTTTAAGAATAAGCTGGAAATCAGCTTAAGCTGAAAGTTATAATCTATAAGCTGTTTAGCCATAAGCTATAAGCACTTTCCCACAGCTCTACCAAACAGGGCCAATGTCTTGCCTCTCAACGGCATTTTCTGACCAACGGCATTTTCTGAACACTTTTCTTCTCTATGACTTACTACCTCCTCCATTGTTAGCGCGATCGGATCCGATCCTCCACCCCTCTCCACGCCGTCACTCTCTCCGAACTCGCTGCCATCGCTTCCTGCATCTACCTCCTCGGTTTTTTCGGCATTGGTTTCGTCCAATCCTTCATCACTCGTGCTTCTCACGACGCCTGAGATGCCGACTACGATCGCTTCATCCTCAAAGGAGATCGCTGCCCCCTGATGGATCTGCCGCATGTGATTCGTCAAATCGGTATGATTTGGGTTTGATATTTTTTGCCCTTGTCTCTCTGTTCTTCTCCTTCATTTCATGAATATATACATTTTTAGGGTTGTTAATAACATTCTTGTGTTTGATTGGTGCATTTGGGTTTGGGGTTTGATATTTTTTTTCCCTTCTCTCTCTGTTCTTCTTCATTTCATTAATACATACATTCTAATTTGGGTTTGATTCTAATTTCTATTTTTTTTATTTTTTTTATTTTTTTTCAAATTTTATGTTGTATTCATATATTGGATTACTCATTCGAACTGTTCTAATCGATTTGATAGTACAATTAGCTCATTCAGATTTCTGTTCAATTGATCTTGATCAGAATTGTATATGTACATAATCATAGATTAGGAGAAGAGGAAGAGCAGTGGGTTTCTTGCTCTGTCATTTTGGACACAGTACTATTGACTAATGTTTTTGTATTTTTGTTCTGTTTTGTTTTTGCGATCCAGTTGGGTCTGCAGTAGTTGCTTTGTTTTGCTTTTGCTCATCTAACCGATGTGAATCGCAGACAGAAAGAAATGTAATGTGCTCCCTCCTCTGTATAGAAAGCTAGAAATTAAACCAAAAAAAAATTATTGTTAGTTTATTTGCCACTGAGTTTGCAGTGTTTACTACATGTTTTGTTCATTGTTGATGGTGGTTTAGTTTTTCATTAACCTTTCATCGACCAACACAAACTCAGACAGAGGGGGGTGGTGGTGGGATGGGAGAGGAATGGCATATATACTAATAAGTTTTACTTCAAGAAAGAAGTTCAGGGACTTTAACGATTTTGTCAGGTCATTTTCTTAACTTTTCCTTTATACTATATTCTAATATTTGAAGTTTGCCTCTGCCACTTCCCTTTTCTCATTTTCATAGATTTTAAACATGATAGTGTTAAGCATTTTCAGTGTGAGAAGTATTTACAATATTTTACGTGAACTACATCCATTTTGCCGATTTATGTATTGATCATTCAAAAAAAAAAAGAAAAAAGAAAAAAGAAAAATCAGATCATAGTTATGATTATCAAATTAATTTGATTTTTTTGTGTGAATAATCTATAAATAAACCTAATAAAATAAATAGTTCAAACATCAAATACGTGACTTATGATGGGCTCCATAATAAAAACATGATAGAATTTCAGTTTCTTTATTTGAAGCGTCTCCCATTTTAAAAACATGATAGAATTTCAGTTTCTTTGTTTTATTATGGGAGAGGAATGGCTCTCATACTAACAAGTTTTACTTCAAGAAAGAAGTTCAGTGACTTTAACGTTTCTGTCGGGTCATTTTCTTAACTTTTCCTTTATACTATATTATATAGATTTGAAGTTTGCCTCTGCCACTTCCCTTTTCATTTTCATAGATTTTAAACATGATAGTGTTAAGCATTTTCAGTGTGAGAAGTATTTACAATATTTTACGTGAACTGCATCCATTTTGCCAATTTATGTATTGATCATTCAAAAAAAAGAAAAAAGAAAAATCAGATCATAGTTATGATTATCAAATTAATTTGATTTTTTTGTGTGAATAATCTATAAATAAACCTACTAAAATAAATAGTTCAAATATCAAATACATGACTTATGATGGGCTCCATGATATCCAACAACACACCAGCGTCTCCCATTTTAAAAACGTGATAGAATTTCAGTTTCTTTATTTTATTACCCGTAACTTCTTGAAAATCAATGGAAATCACCATTCTTGGAAATCACCATTTTGAGAATTGTTTAGTAGTGATTTATTAATAACACCATTTTTACCTAACTTCTTGGAAATCACCATTTTGAGCTTCTCGCGAGGTTGTTTCTCTTTTTGATTATTTGTTTTTATTGATTGATTAATAACATATTTTGTATAAGCTAATTTTTTTTTATTAATAGTTAGTATAGAGTATGTGTGTGTTCAAATTGTGAGATGGGTTTTTATATTTGGTTGAACATTCCGGAGAGTAATTGAGTAATTGAGAGAATTACTGACTTTTTTCAGTTAGCAATGAGTTTAGTTCTGAGTTTTTGAATTTTGCTTCGAAGCTCTTGCAGGTTTGATGATCTTCACAGTCTTCTCTTTGTTATGTTTCTTTTTCATTTTTTATTTATGTAGCTTTCAATTTATTTGGATTGGTGTTTCTAAACCTTAAACTGATATGTATTTGTTTTTCTTTTTTGTGTTGAGGCATGAGTCTTGACATTAGATCTATATCCAGTAGCACACTCGATTAAGTAGAATTTGGGACCATCACTTAACAATGCCCTTTTATTTCATTTTTTATTTTATTTTATTTCATTTAATTTTTAATTTTATTTATTTATTTATTTTTTTCATTACTTGCAAGTGCATTTTAGAAAGGAGCTTCATGAAATATAAAATTCAGTTCACTTACAGGTGAGGACTTTGATTGTGAAAGTTGTTATCTGTCATACAAAACTGGTATGTATAGTTGATCGCTCCTCTCTTGTTGTAATCATCCATGTCCTTTTATTTCATTTTTTACTTTATTTAATTTTTAATTTTTAATTTTATTTATTTATTTTTCCATTACTTGCAAGTGCATTTTGGAAAGGAGCTTCATGAAATATAAAATTCAGTTCACTTACAAGTGAGGATTTTGATTATGATAGTTGTTATCTGTCATACAAAAACTGGTATGTATA